TGTTTTCATCTGTCCCTCCAGCGCTGCGGCGGCTCTCTGATCCAGCGCTGACTCCTCTCTTCTTGCAGGCACTTCCGATCCAGCGGTGTCTGCATGCGGGTGCACGCGTCCATAGACTTACCTTGCGTCTCTGCTCGTCTCCTGCCCGAAAATCCGAACTGCGCATGCGCCCGCCCCAAGATGCTTTGCGGCCGCCCGCGCAGTTTCATTTTCTCGGACGGGAGCGCGCAGCGAAGACAGGGGTAAGTGTAAACTGCTGATAAAGCGGGTTTAAAAAAAAAAAACAAAAAACTTTTTGCCTTTTATCTACTGGTTGCTAGCAGTAGATATAGGCAAAAAAAACCCGGAGGGTTTAGAAACCCTTTAAGTGACCTCGCAGCTCTAGATCTCTGGTGCCCAACATGTGCCTTCCCCCCTTCTATGTGTGCCGCCCATCACGTGTTGGGCACCCAGTAGAAAAATGAAGCCTAATGTGTCTGCCACATCTCGGTGCCAGCCACACTGGAGCAGAGGTACAGGGCTGGCAACTACAAAGTTTGAGGGTGCCTCTGACAGCCGGTCACAGACTGGCAAAACTCAACTCTCTTTAGCCAATCAGAAGTGGAGGGCTCCTTCAGCCAATATGGCTGAAGTTGTTTCCATCTTCTCCATCTCGGTCTTCTTTCCTGTCATTTGTAGAGTAAGCTACCAATGTAGAGTAGCAGTGCAGCTAGCTTTGTGTAGGCTGGTGGAGTATGAAGAGTGAGTATTTGGGGGGTACATTTATAACTGATAGGAGGGTAATCTCGGACTAATGGAGGGGAAACACTGTGACTGCAAGGGTGGCTGTAAGTTATCGTATTGTGGGGGCTGCTGTGATTAATGGTGGCAGAAGGCCGCTATTTACAAGAGGGGGGCTGTGACACAAGGTTACTAATGGCTAAGAGGGGATGCTGAGACAGATACAGGACAGAGACACTGTCACTGACTGGTCCTGTGCTTAATGGGAGGGAGAGTGCTGTGACAATTGTTATTAAACCCTCATAAAAAAATAGTACTGTTGACCTCAGCACCATGTTTGTTGTGTGCCTTTCTTTCCAAGCCAGTCATTTTGTCTTTATTCCACTTGTCATAATTCTCCCTACAGTGTTTGCTATTTTCAGTTGGCTACTCTGCCTTTTGCAAGGTCCCATGGTGCCCCACTGTGACCACCCTTTTGTATATGCTCCTGGCTGGAAACTGTAGCGGGACGCTCAGACGTTGCGTGTGCCAACATGCACATAGCCCTAAAGCCTTGGCCATGCCCCTGCTCCTGCTCCTACTCCAATGGAATACATTGGCAGCGCCTCCAGAGGGCGGGATAATGGGACATGTCGTTCCGACAATCAAATTACTTTAAGTGACAAGATCAATGCTTGCTTCCCAAGCATAAGTTCTGGAAGTGGGGCTCTATACCTATAAAACATATATAGTAAACCTGAATACTTTATACAGTGATCCTTCAGGCTCATGTGCACGGCCGCCGGTGGCCGTACAGGTTCTGCGTGGTTGGGTAGTATTTCCCCTGCCACGGAGCCACAGGTGCTGCGTCGAGCCTCTCATAGATGTCAGTAGCTGTATGAGGGTATATGCTGGACTTGTGTAAACACGCACATGCATACGGGACAAAATCTGCATCCAGGGTTTTGTATCTGTAAGCGTGCACAAGTTTACACAAGTCCAGCGCATACCCATGTACAGCCATTTATTTCTATGGGAGGCTGTATGCAGCACCTTTGGCTCCCTGGTGGGAGAATTTACGCCGGAATTTACATTTTACTGCCACGGACGGTTGTGTGCATGACCCTACAGAGACCATACTATGTATAGCACATTTCAGAAGACCCGATAAGGAGCCGAGTGTACATGGAAACAAATGATGAAATGTTGGGCATTATGTGGCAGATGTTTATTTTGCTACACTAGGCTGTTAAACAACAGAATCTGATAATTGTCCGTATTACAAATGTTCTTTTCTCCTGTTTCTATAACTTGTATTCTTCTGGTTTTATTATGCTGTTGTATGACTTGTGCCAATAAGTAAATGGTAGATTGTACACTCCACACAGGATTATAGTTCCAATGTGTCTTCCTGTATTGTATACAATCTGCTCCTGGTTCACCCTGTGTCATGTGACCTGGTCATGTGGTACTCTGGCTCCCTTCCCTTTATTCAGCCTTGTCTGCTAACGTGTGCACTGCATTTCCTGGACGTGTACAGCTGTTTACAGCTACAAACATGAGTGGTAAGGACAGAGGCAAGATATTTAGATACACAAGTATCTAGCAAATCGTGTGTGTGAATGATGAGAAAAACTACTGCATGTGCTTAAAGACTGCTTGCTTTCATTGCACAGCTTCCATATGTTAGCAGGGTATATGAAGCCCTGCCATGTATGTACAGTATTTTCCTCTTGTGTGGGTGATCCTATAGGAGGTCTTCACCTGGGGATGAGGCGATCTGGTAAGTACGGGCTAGGTGCTCTAAAAACAATGCAGACACCAGCTGTTAGCGAATGCTCAGTAGTCATCGCTGGTGAATGATTTGCTGGTGAATGCTGCTCGCATTGTACTGAACCTTCTGACTCATCCGATTGCTGAATCACTCAGCCCTTCACTGATGTGCGTTTAAAGAGTAAAATTACATTGTTTCCATCTTGTCTGCAGTGCAGACTTAACAAATCCAGCTAAATGTCAGGTCTCACCCCCTGGGTACTGCAAGGTAGCAGTTTAACCGTCACCATGACAGATGCAGTAACCCTGTCAGTGCTGTAGGCAGGGGCAGCCACTGTATTCCTTCCTGTATTGTTATGTACCTTATTAGATGCATGTTATTCTTTTGCTAGTGTTTAGTTGACAATCATTTCTGTGTGTATGGAATGGATGTACAAAATTAAAGAGAAGCAGAGTTTTTTTTCCCAAGTAGTACACATCTTGAATGGCAATTGTGCCGCGGCAGTCATTTTATTTTATTTTTTACATCCTTGTCTTTCATTATTGTGATAGTGTTTTGTATACAGATTTGCACATTGACCTTGTAGAGGTTGTGTGTGTGTGTATATATAAGACAGGCAGTTGCTATACTGTCTGATCAACCGTCAAGATAAAATCAAGTTAGAAATATAGTGAGTGTGTTTTAAGCTGGCCATACACTGCCTAAAATCAGAACTTGGCCAAAATTTGAGAAGTCTGGGACCCCTCCATTCGACAAAAGTTTATATATGGCCTGTTCTGAGCAAAGTGACCAATGAACACTGAAGAGCAATCCCTTTGCAGCAAATAGAGGTTAGCCATAAATTTTAGGAGGTAGTCAGACCTGCAGACATAATCCAGCTGCACTCAAGGAAAGAAGAGCTGCAGAGTGGTCCACAAACCTGCAAGCACAGCTTGAAATAAGCCTGCAACGTGACATTATAGAAAGGAGAGTTGGATGGCAGAAACAGGTCCCAGGGGGAGGGACATTGAGGGCACCCATGAGTTGAAGTACCTGTTTTGCATATACATGGCATCCTTACCCCGTCTAGCCATGGCAGCTTCTTATCTCATGACTATGGGTAGCTTCAACAGGAAGATGTAAAGCCCAAATATGTCCAGAGGTGGGAACTTGCCAAACGTTACCTGGCACAACTGGAATTTTGATGAAGAGGCATCTTTCGCGTTGTTGGACCCTGCTGCTGCCACCAGTTCTCCCAGAGAACTGAAGAGGCCAGCCATGCCACCAGAGGTGTGTTTGTATGCATATGGATGTATTTGTGTACATGTATGCGTGTGCATGCAGGAAAACATTGCAGCAAGGCAAGAGTGCCAACAACTTAAAGGAGAACTATGAGCTGAGTGAAAATCACTCATCCTCATAGTTGGAGCCGACGTGTGACAATTAAACTGTCATACGTCGGCTCAATAGATTGGGAAGTGAGCGAACACATACCGTCGCTCGTTCACTTCTCCATCATCTCCCTGCAGAGAGCAGTGACTGTCACTCATGGCTTCCTGCAGAGATTCCCCCCTCCCCGCTCCGATCCTCCATCGCTGACTGGTGGAACGGATGAGGGAGGGTACAGCTGGCTCTGACTCTAGATAGGCAGAACCAGCTGTCACTCACGCAGCTGGGTGGATCTCAACAGAGCATTGACAGAGAGCGGCGGTCTCGGTATACTGTGAGCTGTAGCTCGCAATATACTGAGCTTTGGGTCACTGGAGGACCCTAGTAGATGTCCTCCCGTTACCCTTAGGAGAACTATGGGGAAAAACGCTTACCCCGTAGTTCTCCTTTAACCACCAGATGCTCAATTCTGTAGCACAGTAATTCTGAAGCCACCAGCACTGGGAATCTCCACTCACACTAGATACTTCTGAACTACTAAATGGTGTTAGCTGCGGCAAGTGCGCCATCAGTAGAACCTTGATCATGTGTACACTGTATTGCTGTATTGGTTTTTTTATTTCATTCTCAGCAGCACCCTCACCATTTACCCGTTAGGAAGGAGAGTGAAACCTTCTTTTTTTTTTTTTACATGGACATCAAGTCCACCATTTTAGCAGCACTGCTCATGTTTAAGGTCCTGAGTAATACAAAACATTTACTGCAGGTGAATCAGTCACTGTAATTTAAAACGCATGTGGGAGGAAGATAAACCTGTAATGAATGAATTAATGCATTATAAATATCCCCCTAAGTTTTCAATGTATTCGGATTATATTCTTGTGCTAAAAATATTCAGTGATTTACCTTGAACTTGAAACTAGTGAAAGACTAGTAATGTATTGTTTTATTACTATATTTAAACATGAAGAAAAAGAAATGTCCTTGGTGTATGATGTCCTGTTTGCGACATTGTGTTCTTGTGATTCAATGGGTATTCAGCAGTATTTAAGATTTATCACACATGAATTCATGCCCTATATAATGGGGGTTTAGTTTATCATTTTGCCTGTTCTTCTGCCTTAATAATTTATTTATCTTACTTTTTTATTTTCTATAGGTCCCGCTCAGGTCCCCATGATGTCCCCAAATGGTTCAGTCCCCCCAATCTATGTGCCTCCAGGTTATGCTCAGCAGGTATGTAAGTAAGGTGAATTTGTGAAAACACTTTTATATGTTTATGTGTTACCATTCACACAACCTAATACCTAAACTGCATCAGCTGCTAGCTCTGCTCGTTCTAAAGGTGCCCATACACTGCACGATTCTCGTACGAGAATCGCGGGAAATCCCGCGATCGTACGAGAATCGTGCAGTGTATGGAAGGCGTGCGACTTTTGTATATCGAGCATGTTTGAAAACCAGCCGAGAATCGTACGATTTTCGGCTGGTTTTTAACATGATCGAGAGATCACTGCCTGAACGGGCCGGTGTGCGCACACTGCCCATTCAGCATTGGGTCATCGGAAGCCAGCCCCTCAGGGGGCGGGCTTGCGATGATCGCAAGAACGATCTGCCTGTCCAAGATGGGCAGATCGTACGTTTTTTTTAAGTACTTTACAACCCTCGCAAGACAAAAGTCTTGCGAGGGTTGTAGAGTGTATGGGCACCTTAAGTTTTTTCAACCAGCTCATTCGATTAGCTGATTCATCAAGGACCAGCTGAAAAGCTCCAGACTACGCTTGGCTGCTATCTCAAGCGGTAGAAATGTGTTCATCGCAACTACAGTACACACAGATTTTACGTATGTGGTTCAAAGTTTTAATTGTTGGGTTGGTTTGAGTTGGCCACATAGCATGACCATATTGTGATTTTAAAAATGCAACAGATGTTTCATAAAAAAATAGTTTCTGGTGTGCACATGGCCCTAACAATCAAACACTTGTTGACGAAATTTCGACCTAAATGTGGAACTGCTCGCTCTTAGCATGACAGCCATGTAGTTGTGAATCAGGTACACACAAACTCTGCTCCCAGTTGGAGCTTTGTGTCAGTCATGATGCTGCAGTGGTAGAGACGAGCACAGGAGTAGGCAACCTCAGCACTCCAGTTGTGGTGAAACTACAAATCACATGCAGCATAGAAAGACTCTAACAGCTATAGGCATGGTGGGATTTGTAGATTCACCACAGCTGGAGTGCCATGGTTACCTGCTCTTTTGCTACCACTTGCTTATTGCCCAAAAGGTAATTTCCAGTAGTTGCAACAAATATCGAAATCCTGACATAATTGTGACACATCAGTGGAACCTGCTTCCACCGTTTTGTGATATGGATTGTCATGAGCACCATGTGAAGGAGGAGTTGGATATACCAAAAGGTTGATTCCCAAAAGATACAATAAGGTAAAGTTAGTTCATTTACCATCAGGATTTGGTGTATACATCTATAGGATAGCCCTTCACTACTTTTCATAGCACTGACCAAGAGCAAATTATTTCTGGTGTAATTTATTGGATAAATTGAAACATTTGTTAGTAGGTTATTTGCAATAGCTAAACAGCTCTGATATTAGCAATAGTAGAACTATAGAAAATGTTCTGTTTAGACTTAAAGTAGTCTTTAATAATGAATTCAGATCAAACAGATATACATTGCCCAGCAAAGTATTTCTTTACATATTTGCCTTAACACTTACAGTCGTCATGTTTCTGAACAGCTCCAACTCTCCCAGCTCTGCTTTCCTGAACTTCCTGTTGATTAAAAGATTACAGGGGACAGCACAGTTTCCATCAGCTCTCCATTTACTAGCTTGGAGAATGGAGAAGCAGGCGAATGGCTCTCCCTGCTGTGTCTTTTGTGTTTGTGAAGCCACACACGGTTACTAGCACACACAAGGGTAGCTCTATAGCAAGGGAAAGTAGCCAACCTAGAACAGGAAATCCAAGGACCAGCTTATTCAGCAATATACTAAAACTTTTTAATATCAAGGAGCAGCATCCAATGTAAATAAATTGATCAGCATTGGGTTATCTTAAAAACATTTGACTTTAATATCTGTAAAGAATAAGTCAAGGCAACTGGACTTGCTGTATTTCTCTTGAAGACGTTTCACTGCTCATCCAACCAGCTTTCTCAATTCAGAATGACTGAATGTCATTCTGAATTGAGAAAACTGGTTGGATGAACAGTGAAACGTCTTCAAGATAAATAAAACCAGCCTGGAGTTGCCTTGACTTATTTTTTACAGATATACCATGACCTGGATGAATGAGAACCTTCACAGACATTTGACTTTAATATCACTTTAAGTTCTTTTCCAACCTCTTACTTCTAAATTCTTAGTTGTCCCTCTGACATATTTTCAGAAAACGAAACTAGTATTGAATGGTAATTTCCATTGTGCTGGGCTGGCCTGCCATGCCCATTCACCTTTGCTCTGTGCAGGGAGGACAGTTTAGTTAATCTTTAAAAGTGGCTCACGCCAGCATGACACGCCATGCAAATATGGATCTAATTCTAAGTATGTGACTGCTGAAGAAATGTTCATATCTTCTATTTAATCAAGCGCAATTATTTTATTTTGAATCCTAAAACACCCCGTTGGTGTCCACAACAGGAAATAATTGGAGATGAATGATTAAAGTGTATATAAAGCCAAACGTTCTTTTTGTGCATTTTGAACAGAGTAGGAAATGGTTAAGAACCCTGTAAAGTTACTTTTTTATATATTTTACTGGCTGTGAGCCTGTTGAGATTTCCCTTCACTTCCTGTCTCAGAAATACAATCGGAAGTAAGAGGAAATTTCTCCAAAGTGAGATGAAACCCCTCTAGGCAGTCATCACTAGAAGAGGTGGCCCCCTTGATTCCTCTCATCTGCTAATCCTGTTAAAATGTTGGTTTTCCCATCGCTTTTGAATCTCGCCACCGGAGACAGCAGTCGAACCTGACGAGTTATTAAGTCTATTACGTCTATTAAGTCTATTACCCTTTTCAAAACTAGAAAAACATATTTATGCCTATAGAGATACTTTTACCACTTCAGTACCGGCCTGTATATACTCCTTCTTT